GCTTTGCGAACGATTAAAATCCTTACCTATAACACGAAAAAGTATATTCAGAAAATAAAAAAAACTTAATAATTAAAAGTCCAAGATCTATTTAAGAGTAAAATTGTAGAAAACTTTTTTCGATTAAGATAAATGATGTAGAAAATTTAAAAAAAAAAGTACCCTAAACTTTTTAATTATTTTTCCATATATTTATAGTGAAATTTTTTCAAATATATATATATATATATATATATTTATTATATAATTTATATAATATATTTTTTTATTTATTAGTTATTTTTTTTAAGTTTATTTTTATTTATTAGTTTGCAATTTAAATTCTCTATTAATTATTCGTTTTGGTCATCAGTATATGACGATGCAAGTTGTACTGATACAGGAAGAGAGAGAGAGAGAGGGGGGGAGGGGTAAAAGTGAAGGAGAAAGGAAGGGGTAAACGTAATTACCTACAACGCTAGAGAAACTCCAAGCTAGCTACAATTAGTGAGGGCGATATGTAAAATGAATTATCGCCCTGGGCTTTTGCGGGAACAGTGTAGGTTATTATTACCAACGACGTTCGATTCAATTACCCTAAAAACATGGACAGAGAGCATTTCTCTGCAAACCAGGCGACTGATAATTACTGTCAAATATTTTCTGGCAAATTTCATCAAACCCTCTGATTCGCTACCCCCACCCCCTTATTATTATTATTTTTTTTCATAATTCTTCATTTCGCACACACACACCCTTAATAAATGCCTACCACTCCTGTTTTATGTAAATTTTTTCTGATTGACATTCGACGAAAACCATTATAAAAGCCATTGATTAAATTGTTAATTTTTTTTTTTAAATTTAATAATTGATATATTAATTATGGAAAAATGAAATCAAAATTATTTCTTGTATTCCAATATGGAAAAAAAAATTTACCCGATAAGTTTCACTGGAACAGCGATATATTTTACTGAAACTGGGAAAGTTTTCGTTATTCTAGAAAAACATATCACTGTTCTAGATAATGATTATTTACTGTGAAATAATTTCTATAAAATTTTAGCAAAATCGATACAAAAAAGAAAAATAATAAATAAAACTAAAAAGCAGATATAATTAGAAAATTTATAAATAAATTTGTTTAATAAATAATAATAATATAAAATAATAATAAAAATAATAATGATAATAATAATACTGTTTACTATATAATGTTAAAAATACATTTCACACTGCGATCAATTACATATGTGTCAAAATTAACATGTTGATAAACATGAAAAAGTTATTTCAATCTTTCACAAGATATATTCATGACACATTTTCCTTGAAAAGAGAAAAAAAAAAAACTTGAATTTCTTTGTAGATTAACAAAACACCTTCGGAAAAGTTTTTCCCTCGTGAAATCGTTATCCTATCTGAGCGTCACGAACGTATCAACTTTTAACACTTATACTTTCTTCTTTTTTTTCCTCTTCATTTTTTTTTTTTTTTTTTTTTTTTTTTTTGTTTCACTTCAAAAATATGGCCAAAATCAACCCGTCGCCTGTCGCTTCTTCGTCACCGGAAATTAAAGATTCAACGAGCTGAAGGTAATTTGGATGAGGAGAGAGAGAGAGAGAGAGAAAAGAGAACAAGACGCGAAGAGATGGTAAAAAATGGAAATCGATACTCGCGCTATCGTCGTATCCAATAAGATTAGAATTATGAAATTCAGATATGTATAATACATTTTCTTGTCTTATATATATATATATATATATATATATATTTATTATATAACTTAACAGTAAATTATTTCACTTTGAAATGCACCTGACGGTTCCTTTATTTTAATCTACTCAAGAAAATGTAACCTTTATTGAATATTACATTATTTTATTGTAAATTCAATTAATTAAGGAATTCAATTCAATTAACAAAACTAATATTCTATGTATAAAATAATTTATATTATAGTTGTAAGCTATATTATAATTATATCGACATTTTTTGATAAGTAAAGTAACATTTTTATTTAATGGAAAAAAGTGTGACTAATTTTAGTATTAATAAATTGTAATTGATACTAAAATTAATTGCACATTTGTAAGATACTAGTTTTAAGGAGTTTGAGTCAATATATTGGGTCAGACAAGGATTAAAACTATTATAATTATTAATTATTATTTTAATTTTTAGTAGTTTGAGTTAATATTATGTCAGATAGTGATTAAAGATATTTTCAGTAGTAAAAGTCAATATTAGACCATACAGGGATTAAAAATAATTTAATTAAAAATTATTTTAATTTTCAGTAGTAAAAGTCAATATTTGATCAGGCAGTGATTAAAACTACTGTAATTATTTTAATTTTTAGTAGTATAGGTCAATCAGAGATCAGACTGTCATAATAACTACTATAATGATAATTATTGTTATTATTATTATTATTATTATTATTTTAATTTTCAGTAGTAAAAGTCATTATTAGGTCAGACAATGACTAAAACTACTATAGGTATTAATTATTTTGATTTTCAGTAGTAAAAGTCAGTAGTCGATCAGACAGTGATTAAAACTACTATAACAATTATTATTGTTATTATTATTTTAATTTTCAGTAGTAAGAGTCAATATTATATCCGAGAATAACTAAAATTACTATAATTATTAATTACTTAAATTTTCAGTAGTAAAAGTCAGTATTCGATCAGACAGTGATTAAAACTATCGTAATTAATAATTATTTTAATTTTCAGTAGTAAAACTCAATATTAGGTCAGTCAGTGTTTAAAACTACTATTATTATTAATTATTTTAATTTTAAGTAGTAAAAGTCAATCAGAGGTCAGGCCGTGAATAAACTACTATATTTATTAATTTATTTATTTTCAGTAGTAAAAGTCAATATTCGGTCAGACAGTGATTAAAACTACTATAACAATTATTATTGTTATTATTTTAATTTTCAGTAGTAAGAGTCAATATAATATTCGACAATGACTAAAATTTCTATAATTATTAATTTTTTTAATTTTCAGTAGTAAAAGGCAATATTCGGCCAGACAATGACTAAAATTACTATAATTATTAATTATTTTGGATTTCAGTAGTAAAAGTCAATATTCGGTCAGACAGTGATTAAAATTATTATAATTATTAATTATTTAAATTTTCAGTAGTTTAAGTCAATCAAAGGTCAAACAGGAATTAAATCTACTATAATTACACAGCCCCACAAAAAAAAAAAGTGTCATGTACTTTTGACCGGAATACCCTAACCCTATGTATTTTGCGGCGCTGAACACGAATCCGAAGTCCGTTTTGCTCCATCACGTCAGCATTTTTTTCTAACCTCAAAAAACATGTCGGATTTTGAGAAGTATGCGATTTTTTTAAAAATTGATGTATTAACTTCAAACTTGGTATCTGGGGGTTTTTTGTGTCGCTGATTACGAATCTGAAGTTAGATTTTCAAAATCAAAAATGGCGGATCCAATATGGCGGACGAATTTTGAAAAAATTTTAAGATTTACTTCAAACTTGGTATCTAGGGGTTTTTTGGGTCGCTGATTACGAATCTGATGTCAGTTTTCCGAAATTCGATATGTCTGATTCAATATTAAGGAATTATTTTTAAAAAATTGTCAGATTATTATGAAATTTGGTATCTACAGGTTTTCTAAGTTGCTGACAAGTAACACTAGGGAAGTGACATACGCCGATTTTTCTGAAACTTGGCAGTTTTGTAGTTTTTTGAAAACAATTTGACACGTATGTTTTGTTTTTCCCCAAAAGCTGATTTATGGGGGGGAAATACCCCTTGAATTTTTTTTTGGAAGGGGGACATTATTTTACAAAATTTTTCAAAAATTAATGTGCAATAGTGTATCTGGGGGTTTTTTGGGTCACTGATTACGAATCTGATGTCAGATTTCAAAAATTCAAAATGGCATATTCAACATGGACTTCTATCGGCCACATTAGATACGCCATTATCAATTTTTGAAAACTGACATCAGATTCGTAATCAGCGACCCAAAAAACCCCTAGATACCAAGTTTGAAGTAAATCTTAAAATTTTTTCAAAATTCGTCCGCCATATTGGATCCGCCATTTTTTATTTTGAAAATCTAACTTCAGATTCGTAATCAGCGACACAAAAAACCCCCAGATACCAAGTTTGAAGTTAATACATCAATTTTTAAAAAAATCGCCTACTTCTCAAAATCCGACATGTTTTTTGAGGTTAGAAAAAAATGCTGACGTGATGGAGCAAAACGGACTTCGGATTCGTGTTCAGCGCGTCAAAATACATAGGGTTAGGGTATTCCGGTCAAAAGTACATGACACTTTTTTTTTTTGTGGGGCTGTGTTATTAATTAATTAATTTCCAGTAGTATAAGCAAATATTAGGTCAGACAAGGGAACAATACAGTGTAATTTTGAATAATTTTAATTGTCGAGTAGTTTAAGTCAGTATTAGGTTAGACAATTTTTTAAAATAAAATTTTTAATATATTTTATTACATTATATTATATTCTTACATTTATAAATAATTCTTGTTAATTTTATTAAATATTTAATTAAAATATTAATATTTAATAAATACAATATTTTTTCTCTAAATATAAATAATATAAAAAAGCAAAAAATATAATAAAAAATTTGTGTCTGTCTATTATTTTCTAAATGGAAAAAAATTTATATTTGATTAATATATTAATATTTCCGGTTAAGTCAAACTACAGTTTAGAACAAAAAAAATGACCTTTTTTTATCTTTAAGTACTCCGAGTCAATATTGGATCAGAGTTTGTACAAATTTCTAAACTTTGACAAAAACATCAATTTTACATAAGAAAAAAAAATGATTCCACCATAAATTTTTGAAACACAAACAAAAATATTACAAATGCCCTCAAAAAAAAAAAAAAAATATTTTATCAAAACCCACATATGTGTGTCCAAAAGATAATCTGAAATTCTAATAAAAAATGGAATTTTTTTTTTCTGATTTTTCTCTATCCCAGGAGGAGTGTGCGTCAATGTTACAGGATCTAAGCGATAAGATCAACAACAAACATCAAGAGGTCCATACGCATCCTTTGCTCTCGATTTTCAAAATGGCAGAGGTCGAGGTAAAATTGCCACTCACCAGTAAAGCAACAACATTGACATCGAAGTCGTCGACCTTTTTCTTAGGGTTGACATTGCTGATAAGCGGTTTTCTTCAACGTACCACAACGTCAATGTTAATATCAACCTTCACTGATGATCTTATCTCGTGACACGGATGACCATTTTCATCGTAAACAAAAAAAAAAAAAAAAACTGTAAGCTCCTTCAAAACAAATGAATATGGTTTGTGCAGATTATATATATATATATATAGACACATACACATACAAACACATATACATACAAATACACCTATACATGTATAGCTATATATTATATACATACGAAAAATTTCAAGGCTCAGATGGTACGAACGATGAGAGAAATTGTTAAGCGTGGGACAAAAAGTGAGAGTGAATGTGCTCAAAGACTCGGTAAAAAAAAAAAATGAAAAAAAGCTAAATATATTATATTCGGAGAATGTTCATTTTCTCCGGACTAATTCTCCAATTGACTGCGATGTCGTTTTTGTATATACAAAAATATGTTTTATTTTTTTTCGAAATTTATTTTATTAATATTTTATTATTTCTTTGAGAAAAAAATTTTAGTCTAGTAATAACGAAATAATAATAATACATACGAAAAGAAGTGTGTTTTTTTGTATGCATTTTTTTGAAAAAAAAAAAAAAATTACAAATAACATACATTTTTCTGTAGAATTCTAGAATTTCTTCAATTTTTCACTACTTTTTTTTTAAACATAAATATATTTTGTGATTAAATGTAAAATTTTTGCCCTATATATTGCAAAATGGAATTTTTTTTTTGTTCACTGCGCAAAATAAAAAAAAAAAAAAAACTTTTGTTTTTTTTATCATTGGAGCGATAAATAAAAAAAAATACCAAAAAAACAGAATTGTTATCGGAATCGTAAAAAAAAAACGTTACAAAAAGGCGCCAAAATGTATTGAGAAAAAAATTTTCAATTTTATTTCGCTAATGAAATACAATTTATTTTCTTTATTTATTTATTATTTATTATTTATTTAAATAAATTTTATTATTAAAAATATAGAATAATATTTGTATATACAAAAACGACTATCGCTCGTGTAGATAATAATAATAATAATAATGATAAAAACTCGTTATTCTTTACATTTAAAAATTTTTTATTTTTAAATTACAATTTTTCGCTGCGCAGCAAGCTTTTCCGTAAAGGACCATTTTAGGCGTTGTTAAAGTTTCGAGTTGTGCGTGTATAAAAATATAATTATCCTAAGAAAAAAAAATTGCAGCATTCAATCAATTTCATACTTTCTTGAAATTTTTTTCTTTTTTCTTAAACAAAAATATAGTTTAAAAAATAAAAATTCCTTAAAATAGTTAAAATATAGTTTAGTAATTTAGTTATACATAAAAATTGCTAAGAAAAAATTCGATAAAATTTATATAATTAATAATTACAGTAATTTAATTTTAATTATTAACATAATTTTTTTTTATCATAAATTTTAGAATATTAGAATATATTTTAGAAAAATAAAATTTCGTTTAAAGACAAAATATTTTATATATTGAGTATAAAAAAATATTATATTGAGTATTTACTTGATTGAATGCTAGTATTTTTTTTTTTGCTAGTGTAATATATAGAATATTATATAATAATATTATAAGACAAGAGACTCAAAGTGTACAATGTGTACAGATTGTTTTGCTATACACAAATCATAATGCACAGTATACAATAGGATTAATAAGGTAAGTGCTCACTCTGAATCTTGGAAATTCCTGGTACACGTTATTTCGTATGTAAACATATGCAAATGTGCAAAACCCAGAGAAATAATTGTTCCAGACTTGCGGCTTCAATTTAAATATACTTTTTTTCCGCCCCCTCACATATAACGAAAACACCGAGATAATATGAAACAAGATTTTTCTTTACTCAGATTTCTAATTTTCCATTCTTTCAATATTGTTCCTATTATAACATTTACTATTTCTTTTTTTTTTTTAATTTACTTAAATAATAAGTTTCAATCTATTTTTTACAATCTTCAATGAAAAATATTTTTCGAATTTTGTTAAAAAATTTTTAAATTTATAAATATTTTTTTCAACTTTAATTATTAGTTTTTTGTCTTAACTATTGGAAAGTATTTTCTATAGTAAATAATTCAAGAAACTATCAATAGTAATTGAATAATAGAAAATAATTTCAATGTTTTATTATAATTATAAAATAATTAATTGAGAATAATTAAAATTTAATAATTGAAATTTAATAAATGACTTCTAAAATTTATTTAAGTAATTCAATATTGATTAATAATATAATTATTTTTTAATTAAGATAATTTTTGTGAAAGAAAAATTATTTCACAAATTTATTTATTTTTTTTTCTAAATCGCACAAGGGGGAAATATTAAAAAATTTCTAATAAATTGAACTAATTCGCGTCTAATTGAAGCTCAAGAGCAATAAGAAAGTGTGATAGATCGAATGTAGAAAAAAAAACGAGTATGGAAAAAAAAGTGAATATCCTCTATACATATTCCATACGTGACTATATAAATATAGTATACATGTAATTATTATAAATAACTACGTCGAAGATTGCTAAAAAAAAAAATAACGCCAAAGGCAAAAAGTTACACCGCGATTAAAAAAAAAATATATATATATAAACTGTTTGTACATTGCATCAATTAGGAGGAATTTGTTAGTATATAGATATATTGGTTATTTGTGCGATTGCGATCTGTAAATTTGGAATGATTGAGTATAGAAAAAAAAAAATTGAGGAGAAAAAAAATTAAAGAGTAAAAAAAATAAGAAGAATTTGGTCAAGAAAAAATAATAATAATAGGCAAATGGACTGATGCTATAAAATAACAAGCAAAGTTAAACCTGTGACGAGGGGGAGGGGCCACTTTATCTAATTTTCATTTAATGCCAATTTGGTAAATTGATTAAAAAAAAATGTGGGAAACATTCAATATGTTATTTTAAAGACAAATTTTCGAATTTTTTTTTTTTTTTGTAAATCATTTTTATATTTTCTTCGAATTTATTTGTTTCGCAATTATCTGAATTTAATTATTTTATATAAAATTAAATTTAATCATTTAATAAAATTGAATTTAATTATTTTGTATAAAATTGAATTTAATTATTTTTTATAAAATTGAATTTAATTATTTTTTATAATATTAAAAATACTAAACCAATGGAGATGTAATATAAAAATAAAAGAGTAAATTAAATGAAATAAAGGAAAAACGAAATTTATCAAATAAAAAAGAATGAATAACAAAATAGATTTTATTGAATTTATTTTCATTCATAAAATTTTAAAAAACTAAATTAAAAAAAAATAAGAAAATAAAATAAAAAGGAGAATCAAACAAAAAAAATAAACGCGAAACGAAACGAGAGAGAGATGAAAAAAAAATGATCGTGAAATATTTACTTCCTGGGGAATGAAAAATTGGTTTTTCTGATTCAATTTGCCGATTGTAAATTTTTTAACTCGAGAAATTAGTTAATAAGAAGGGAAAAAAGTAAAAGTTGATGAATGTGTTCACACTTGAGGCAACCTATAATGCAGTATCTACTGATCGTTACTAGATGGACGCGTCGTGAGCGAGAGCGAGTGTGACGTGGTTATCGGAAAAGCAATAATGTACAAAGTTTACGATCCGCAGGCACGTCGCTACCTACCTCGAAAGATAACAAAATATAACGACATAGATGAAGACTTTGTACATAAGTACAGAAATAACGTGTCTCCTCTAATGTTACATACGTTTTAAAATCCACCTTAAATTTAGACAATGATAATTGAAAATCTTTTCCCTTATCAATTTATAGAAATAATTTTTTTCATTATTCTATATTTTAGTAATTTTTTTTTTATTATTCTTTTCAATTTCTTTCTTTTTTTTAATAATATTTATAGAAATATTTTTTAATAATTGTTTTATAAAATTTTTTTTGATAATAATTTAAAAAATATTTTTTCAGTAATATTTTTTTAAAAATAATATTCAGTTTTTAGAATTGTCAAATTTTAAATTAGAATTTCATAATTAAAATTACCAAACAAAGATGGTAACATTGAATTAGAATCGAAATATATTATATCAAAAACATCTTTTGCCAAATTTGGATCACAATTATTTTAATTTAAAAAAAAAAAAATTTCGGCAGAAAATTTTTTCGAAATTAGAGAATAAATTTTAAAAGTAAAATTAAATTTTAAGGTTCTCTTATTTAACAGAAAAAATCGATTTCTCATTATAATTATTAATAAATTTTTAAATGGAAAAAAAAATTCGAAAACATTAAAACTTATTTTGAAATGTAATAAAAAAAGTGTTTGTAAAATTAATGAACTAAAAAAGAACATTTTTTTTATACCTACAAAAGAAATCTGAAATTAGTAATAATATTTTATTTATAATCTTTTCCTCACATGAGAATTTCAAAATTATTCAAATAATTGATGAAATTCTACGAAAGTTTCTGACATTTGCATGAAATTTGCTAAATTGGCATTTCAGTTTTGTATATCAATAAAATACATATCACAGGTTTTCGACAAAGATATATTATATTATATATATATATACAACATAAAGCAGGCTCTAATTTATAAGTGAACTTCCACAAAAAATTAATTGTTATATTATAAATTCACAAATTAATTCTATAATAAGTATTATAAATATTATTCGACACATATCGCAAACGTCATATCAGAATCATGTGTTCTTTTTTTTGTTTTAAGAGAAAAACTATTTATAACTTTTCTATTCTTTACAGAGTAAAATAAGTTTAAGAAAAATTTATTCCATATTCTTTACTATATAAATATACATGTATATAATTATTATTATTATTATATATGTATATAATTATTTAAACATATCATTAAAATATTTTAATTAATATCTAATTATCACATACTATCATTTTAATTACATTTTTTATCGCAACGGCAAACGAATTTTAATATATAAATGTGACAATAAAAAATGTTCTTTATTTTTGAATTTTGAAAATTTTTCAATTATCAGATCGACATGAAAAATTTTACTGTAGCTTGGAATGTAGATTATGGACGCTAATAATATTATTATTAATATTATTATTAATATATTAATATTATTTTTAATATTAAGATTAAAAATATTATTAATATTACTATTAATATTACTATTAATATTACTATTAATAGTTGATATTATTAATAATAATATTCAGTTTAAATATACCGAATTATTTTTCGATTTTTTTTTCGAAAAATTAATAATTAAAAATTGCATCATTGAGCAAATTTCTTCCATAGCAAAAAAAAAATCTGTTTTAATATAATAAAAATCATTAAATTAATTATTGTATATTATAATTATTATAGAGTTCTTCTATTCCCCCGAGGAATTAAAAAAAGAAAATGAATCGAAAGCTTGCGAAATGTGCGAAATTTTTTTTTTTTTCATTTGTGAAATAGAGCGACTCACAGTGTGCAAAAAAGGTACCAAAAAAAAAAAAAAAACAGTGACAGGGGTCAGAAATCGTAATATTTTGACGGAGGTCAGAAAAAAAAATTGTCTTTAGCCTGTAAGTATAAAAAAAAAGCTTATATGATACACCAGCCCTGTCTTAAAATTTGTATACCATATTATAATTAATATTGCGTTACCGACCGAGTGTCTTTTTTCTATATAAAATATTCGTGAAACACAACGAATAGCCCAACTGTTGGTATATAAATTGACGTTCAAGCTT